AGTATGTTCATCTTTATTCTCTTTAATTAGTGCGTACGTAGCCTATAGCAACTTATAGCTTATCAATAAATCATCTCGTTGGATAAACATAATTTATTTTATGTGGTGGTTGTTATGAGTACTTTTGTAGAAATGATTCCCGGTCCCTTTTTTTTGCTGCGTGCACGTGATTTTGGGTCGAGTGATGTGTGGTGGTAGGAACTAGTGCGGGATAAGGTTTAAGGGTCAGGGTCAGGGTCGGAGGGTACCGGTCACTAAGGGGTGCGGCACCCCACGCATCTACAGTCCTACTTACTAGCCCTACTACATGTACCTACTCTAGTGTTTAAGAGTCTTTATTCTGTATATGTGTTTATAAATGGTCAAGTGGAGATACGAAAACCCCCCAGTCGAGCTGGAAATAGTGATGTCATATCCCGACGTTTGATTGTGGCGTAATACGATATTTCAATTCGGATCTAGGCCAGGAAACGCTTGCGTTTGCATCCTGTCGTTTTATATATTGAAGTAGATGTATCCTCTGAATTCTGTCGAGATACCTCATGATCAAAGAGTGAATTCGCACGCGTAAATCGCGTTCCCCAAAACAAAATAACCCTATATGAATTCTTGCCGCCCTTTTAAATTGGATATTTTTGTGTGTGTAAATACAGCTTGTGGTGTTTTATACTCTCACGGCGTTCAGCACAACAGAACTGCTTTATGCTGTTGACCCCACTTGTGGTTCCAATTCGAGCTGACCATGTAAAGCATAGAACAAGACATTTTCAAAGTGCTACTGTACTACCTGGATAGTGCTAGTTGTGTCGTGGCATTAACCACTTTCACCGATGAAATTAGTACTGCACGATTACATAATCACGGAACGACGACGTGCCCTTTCGAAATCCATGTCACGTCGAGGTCACGAGTACTGTGTCCTCATTAGCTAACTTCTGTCTTTTGTGTCTTGCTTTCTTTTCTTCTTCTCTTCATCATCATAATACTATCATTCGAGCTGGTTTTACTTTCATGAACTGAGCAGCTTAGTACATGGTATGGTAAAACATCACCAAACCCGAGATCGATATACATATCGTTCTGAATGTGTCACCTTTTTGATTTGATTTTGATTGACTAGTCACCTCATTAATTGTATGCAACCCGGAGGTTATGACAATATAACAAACAACATCGTCTCCACAGAACGCCCCTCCATCCACCTCCATCTCAACAATAAAGAAAAGAAAAGTAACTATTTTGAATGTGTCACCTAAACCGGTTGGGCGACACGATATTAAAATCCCAGAACAAAAGGTTTTGAAAAAACGAATAATAGAATGAAGCCATCATTCCACTAGAAGGACTCTCGAATTTAGCTGGCTGTGGCGTTGCACTAACCCCCTGTTTCGGTACCTGTGGGCGCGGCCAATCATGATATATCACTCGGTCGCGAACCCGCCAAGAGCGAGTGCAGATTTATGATTCTGCGAGACAGTGTAGCTTCAGTAGGCCAAAGAATACATAGGTTGCTGTAGAAACTCTCTAAATGTATCCTCTCACGCTGCAACTGAAGTTCTAAGCGACATTGCTAGAAAGCAGATCGATGCGCTATTCAGAGTACCTTATTCAACAAGGGCGGGCGGGCCAGGATGACCTGCAACCAAGATTGGGTTTATTGGACGTCTTTGAGAACCTATCTTTTTATTTTCCTCTGTGCGTACACCGCTCTTCTTTGCTACAGAGGTTTCCGTCAAGGCAAAAAGGCGAGTTCTACGTGACTTGGCCACATAACCGCGGCTGCTACTCTCCAGCAGAACAAACGGACACCCCAAATGACCATTGGATTGTGGTGATGAAAGGGAAGAAGGCGATTATGGTCCGTTGCCGCATTAGTATTAAGATCTAATATAAAGATGTTACTAATAACGGGAAATAGCTATCGCGTCACTGGACGTGTGAAAAATCGCGACCCACGCTGATCATCTCTCAAAAATCTCACGATACAAACGATAAGATCAAAACACAAAACAACCTAGTTCCAGAAAATTGCATACTTAGGGTGAGGGGCGGGTATACCCATATATATAATCATGTATCTCTAGCGTCATGAGAACCAGAAAATGAGTGACGAAGGTATGCAGACATTGAACCGCTACTCACATCTGCTGCAAGTACATCTTTTGTTTCCATAACAGCGGTACTAATATGGCGTGGTCCAATATGCAATGTTCTCCTTAGTCTGTCAGTGAAATGCGGTCCCCAAATTTGCCAAAAAATGTGCAGATTCCGTTATCTTTCTTATCAATGTATATACCTTTATCACTAGTCTCCCCTTATAGCCTATAAAGATAAATTACATGTATCTTTTGCCCTTTATTCTCTGCTTCGGGCGGGTGTGAAGTACAATTAACTAGATAGTACTCTTCGTTTGCTGTTTCCATCTCCTCATTCTCCTCCTGCTTCGCATATGCATAGATAAGTATACTCCGACATTCTACGCTTTCTTGGTCTCAAGGAACAGCCGTTATTATCTCTCATACAATGCTTGCAAGAAAGCATAATTATCCTGCCTTCAAGTCTCTCTTCCTTCATCACCTCCAGCAGCCTTCGCACACGAATTGCATTGTTGATGAATTATCTTAATACCAATTCGCCGTGTTGTGGTATGAATTACCTACTTCAAGCAGCCGTTGCGCTCTAGTTCTGGCATTATACAGGTCCTTACTCGCACGGTACATCAACATTTGACATGGCCATATGGGGCCGGCGTAGTTTTGATTTATTAGAAGTTAAGACCAATGATATGTCAAGAAAACAGTAGGATTTCACTTATCTATATGTAGTAGGTTAGTATTTTTATGTTTTTATCCGGGAAGTTGTAGTTGGGGGAGACATGAGGAGACCGGAGGTGGAAGACAGTCTAGTACGATATTGTAGTGAATAGATAACACGATATGCCGTATGGGGGACACGGGGTCGGGGTTGATCTTCCAGCCCAGCAACCCTAATTCTTACCAATTGCAAACAATAGATCTCCCGTACAAACTTTGACCCTCTGGGACAGCATTGGAAGAATAATTATATAAGGGATAATATTACTCCGGATAATGCGGAGCGATTATGCACATGTACACCAAAATGTGAATAGCTACATGTACATACATATATTATCTATCCTCTAAGAGGAAGCAAAGAAACAGATCCCCTCAATGGCTTAAACATTCGAGACGTATACTCTAACAGAAAGCGCCAATGGCACTGGATCTTATTTTTACTTTGTTCAATTCGTCGATATGAAAACGCACTCATACTTCAAAGAAGCTTAAGGCCATAATCGCCAGGGGAGAGTTAACAATTGCATTACAAACCAGCAGAACATTGCTTTTCCTTTCCCTCGATCGATCGTATGTCTCAACCTAACCCATTCAAGATTACCGGAGCTAGATGCATGGCGTGCTCGACGCATGGGCAGAGCAAGACATCTTCACATGCTCCAGCTCCAGCTCCAACTACGTACATACTCAGAATTAATCCAACAAGAGAACAACTCCGTAGCTAGAGATGAGACTAGACGAGAAAATTTTCCCAGATCGAATTAACACCGACGTCAATTTGTCAGCCCTAGCCACCAGATATCTTACTCTCCATTGAAGAAGAAAAAAGTGCAGGTAAAGATGAGGCCACAAAAAGCTACTAGAACACCGTTCCAAAGCCATAATTACGATCCGGGCGAGTTAATCGTGATCCCATATACATGTGTATTTGCGATCAATCACTTCGCGACCGTACTTCGTATCATGTCAATTGCGCCACCCAAGAAAGAAAGAAGGAAAAAAAGAAACAGTTCCTTTTTCTGTACGTTGCACCCATATTCATAACGGTAGGCGTTTCATCATCCCGCATGAAGTACTTGGAGTTGTGGGTGGGAGCTTGGGCCAATTGGCTGAGCTAAACATCATTACATTATCAATTGCTATATACTAATCCCCCTAAGCCACTTCCGTAAGCTAGGCCCATCATGCATGCCCGACACCCACCACCACTAACAACAAACATGTTGTCCTTGCAAGGCAAGAAACTCCTTGTGTCAACCAGGATCACGACTACTACTGCACCGGAAAGAAGTTTTTCCTAGACAGCGTCTATCATTGGCGTGGCGGCCGCGCTGGCAGTGGGCAGTCCGTCAGACAGGAGATAACAATAAGGAAAAGCTAAAAAGCCACATCCATGTAATTTACATGTGACAGTCCCCTATCCACCCCCCCCATCCCTCCATCCCCCATCCCCTCCATCCTCCCTACCTGCACCTCCGTCAATCCCCCGGCCAATCGAACCTGAAGTGGGAAAGCCGTACTCCCCAGATAAGCAAAAAAACACGATACACCTCGCCTATGTAACGATAATGCAGGTCTTTGCTCGATAGCGAGCATATGGAGAGGTCGATTGTGGGCAATTGTGGGCAATCGGGGTCTGTGTACGCTTGAAATTTCGGTTTCGGGACCCCTCATGCACACCCGGCCGTGTTCGGAAACTGGCCTGATGCAGGGTTTGGTCATGGATGATCACTCGGTGTTGACGGACACGTGATTAGCGTGGAGGTTTTGGTTGGTGGGTCGGGACGACGTTTTTACGGCAGCTGGGCTTAGAGGTGAGGTGGGGAGAAGGGGGGACGGGAGAGGGAGGGGGATGGTACATTGCTCGGATTTGTTCATTTGGCTAATGGGCAATTTTATGTTTGGCAAGAACTACAGAGGTTTGAGTTGGAAGAATACCAACCAAAGTCTACAATTCTTCAAGATTGATACGTGATATTCATATATTCATACTTCATCTCTATCAACAAGCATACAAAAAACCCCGTTTCAGAAAATACCACCCTCATAATCCTACATGATAAACGAAAGTAAACCCAAGATGAAGCAAACCTAGCTAGATATCCAAACCTAAACAAAAAAAGAAGCCCAAACCACACCAACAAAGAAGGAAAAGAGACAGCAAATAAACCTAGATGAAACTTTTTAACCCACGAACACCATCTCGCCCTCTTTGCCCGGTAGCCTCCCCTTCGCATAGACATCCTTATGCTCGTCCCATAACCTTCTCAACTCTGCCAGATACCTCTCTTGGAACTCATCCAGGTCCCCATCCCTGGGACTCTCCATCTGCGCCTTCGGGAACACCGGACGTCCCACCACCGTGTTGACCTCCTTCCTGTATGGCAACAAGCCAACATCGTAGTTGAAAACACCCCTCGCATGGAAGAGTGGCACTGTGAACCCAGCCACACTCTTCACAAACATCTGCAGCTTCTCAATCATCCCGCCACCAGTGGGGACCATCTGGTCGTAGAGCTCGTTCTCGCCAAAGCTGAGCACCGGTACAATGCCAGCGTTCTCACGGATCGCAATCCTGAGAACGCCGCGGCGGCGCTTCACGACCAGGGCCATGCGGCCGGGGATTGCCTCAAGGGACTCGCGCGCGCCGCCAAGGACGATGGTGATTGCGCGGCCGCCGCCGGTGGGTGCCGTGTAGTGCGGTGCCGGGTGGAAGATGGGGAGGAGGAAGACGAGGCGCCACCAAGTCCATGGTTTCCAGGCAGACCATGTTGGGGGCGGTTGGGCGGCCTCGCCGCGGAGGAGGGCTTCGCAGGAGCGGCGGGAGACGGAGGCGAGGCCCATGAACATGAGGAAGTCGCGGTAGAAGGGGACGCGGAAGTTGGAGTCGAGAGTGAGGAGGGTGTTTGTAATCCCTGGGAAGAGACCCTCGAAGCCGGTGGTGTTTTCGGTGCAGAAGTGGCCGAAGGCTCCGTGGGAAATGATGCCGTGGGGGTGGTAGGTGAAGATGTAGTTCTTTGCGGGGTCTAGGGAGGTCGTGGCGTGGAGTTTGAGGGGGAAGTAGCCCGTGTAGAGACGCCATACTGGGAGGCTTCGGAGGAAGTGGGAACGCCGCCTTGGCGCAGAGCCGTCGAAGTGGGCTTCCGAGAAGAGGCAGTAGATAAGATATGGGATCAGGATGGGCCATGTCAATGGAATTGCCAAAAGAAACCAGAATAGTGAGGTATATAGCGGGATAGTAAACCCGTGTAAGAGGACTGCCGCAGTTTGAAGTCGTCGTTTAATTGGAACATTCAGCGGAGCCATTCGGATTCTAATTACCACTGTTAGAAACCGTTCACATATAAACCATACTTCTCCCTTATCAGTACATACCCTCCATTCCTCTTAACCTTATCCCCACCACTGATCACCACTGAAACCTTCTTCTTTGGCTTTGGCTTCGACTTCTTCTCCTGATACCTCACCTCTCCATCACTCTCCCTCTCCGAAGACGTGCCCATCTCCCCCGTCTTGATCGGTCTCCTCCCACTCCTGCCGCTGCTATCACTATCATAATTGCTACTAACACTGGTGGTGGTATTACTATTGGTACTCCTCCTGCGGTTGTTCACCTGCACAGAGTAGAGAGCGTCGTTAATCGCCGGCAATGATCGTTGTGGAGGCGGCTCGGCCAGGCCTCTGGGCGAAGGGGAGGGGTCCTCTGCGTCAAAGAAGGACTGGTCAAGTATTATGGACCTGCTGGAGCGCGGGGAGATGCTGAGGAGGGACGAAACGCTGCCATCGTCAGAGGCGGCAGAGGACGGTGGGAATTTAGAGAGGTCGAAGTAGGACATTGTGTCAGTGTTGTAGGCTTAAAGCCGACGTCTGGGAGGTGTTAGGATTGGAGGGAAACGATAGGGCTCAGCTAATCCACAGTATCCACAGCGCTCCAAGTGAGAAGAGGATTCCTCACAGGTATTTGTATATCGGGTCCAGGGGGGGGAGGGGGGGCAAAGTTTTTTTCCCTTCGGACTCGGTCGGAGCTGGGGCAGTGTTAGCTGATTGTGGGACGCGGTGCTGCTGCTGCTGAGGGAGTGAGTGAGTGAGTGAGTGAGTGTGAGTGAGTAAGTGAGTGAGTGCAGCTATCACATGTAAAAGCCGGGACAACAACCTGCAGCTGCGACGGGTAACTATATGACGACACGCATCAGCTAAAGAGCAGCAGTGGGGCTAGTGCAGTGAGGCACTCGGAAGTCCCCGCGTGAAACGTTAATCCGGCCCGAATCCTAAGAATAGCCGCATGAAAACCCTGACCCTGAGAGCTTTTGCTTGCCGTAGCCACGGACCGCGCTGGAGCTGATCAGCCCCGTATTTTCTCTGCGTTTTCAATCCACCACGACACCAATACATATAAGGCCTTCTTGCCCACAACCAATTCTTCTCAAGTACCATACCATACCAATGCCCAGCAGCCCAGCTGGATTATATTACTCTCAAACTACCGAACAATCCCGAAAGCCATGGAAAGTAGACGAAGTCTCCGTGCGCAAGGAAAACGTTTTGTTTGTCGCTGCTCAATAATGTACGTGCAGATTCGCCCCCGGCATGGCACGTACATGGTGCGTACATGAGATAAGAAAACGGTCCAGGAAATGCCAGGTAGAGCCGGTTAAATTACAAATAAAACATCCATTTGCAGAAATTAAATGTACTCAACTCCAGTCGCTATCTTCAACAGGAGTGTGTGCGGCGGTGTCGATATTCTGATTGGCCTTTTAGGGGGGAGGAAGGAGCGCTGTGAACCGAGTGATCGTCCATGATACCCAATGGAGTGCAGATATCTTAAAATCGACTACATATGTTGTGTGCTAACGTTTTTTGATAATGCACTGACTGGGCCTAAGGAGAGAGTGCTGCCGAGCTGAAGCCGGCATTGGCCCTGGCAGGGTCGGTGTCGGAGTGGACGGTAGCGTTGTCCGTATTCTTTTCTTTCTTCAGAAGCAAGTTAGCAATGCATGCTGTCGCGTGTGGGGTACCTACATTCTACTCGTAGCATAAACGACTGACTCGTTTCGAAAACGGACCACCGGCCATCTCTTACCGAAATTGCAAGCCAAAAAAAAATCTCGTGTATGCAGCCCCAGTCCGTTTTGCAAACGTCAGTCACGTGGTGTCGAATCATTCTCTTAAAACCCTTCTTCCCTCTTCTCCCTTCTCCCTTCGCCCGTTTTTCTTGTTTTTTTAAACCGCCTACCTATCCACCGTACGTAGATCAACTATAATTTCTTTGTGCAAAAAACACGTATACGGTCGATTACGTGGGCATTAATTATGTGCGCACACAAACTATCACGAGGCGTCACTCGGTGTAATTGACTGGCCGGCAGCCTTGCAATTGTGTGCGGGGTTTCCTTGGTCCTGGGCTCCGCGGGTCGTTAATTCGGCGAGTGAGAGCGTGTGAGGATGTGTAGCTAGCATACCAGACTGGAATGAATAATAACGTCTAGGGTATATTCCTACCTACCCCACACACCGCGCCGCGTGCAGAATGCGGAGAAGCAATTTTCCGGAATATCTTTTCACGTGCCGCATACCAGAACAGCAGTTCAATGATCTTTTATCCCGCCCGTCCAGTTGATTCACGTGGGGACGCATCAACGTGGGGAAACGCATCAGGTAGAGTAGAGTACGAGTCCTAATGTGCTGTGCTGTGCTTCTAGCCCAGTCCCCCCGACCAATCAATTGACCAGGCAAAAATATAGGCTCCGGTAGAAATGAACCCTTACTTAGAGTACTTGTGGGCTGGGTTGAACTTGTAGGTACTGTGCTATGCACTGGTTGAGATGACCTTATCTGAAAAAGTCTTTCTGGTGCATGACATGCAGCAGGGATATATTAAACAGACTCCTGATTGACCAACGAGACTCAGGGGTTTGCTGATTGGCGTTTTTGAACGTCGGCTTGTACCTACAAGCGAAATTCCCAGCTACATAGGTGAAAAAATGGAAGGTGTGGTACTGTGTAGCAATATTAAATGTTGACATATGGCGGGAATTGTGCCAGAGTTGCAATGATAAAGACATCAACAGGATGTCTGGGTCTTAAGCCTTGGTTGACGGGAAAGGCACCATTGAGTATCCAGCTGCAGATCATATGGATAGAAACAAAAGAGAACCGTGCCTGTAAAACGCTCGATTTGTTGGTTGCATTGTAGTTATGATAAACAATCCTTTTTGAAAAAGCGGTGAGGTGATCATGTACGCAATTTGCAATTGATTGTATTGAATCATCATCAAAACACCCGCCTCACCCCGCCTCATCGGGCGGGAATGAATTACAGTCGTTCACCGTCGCTTAACCGAATACTGCCAGTTGACGAACAGGGGACTTTGGACCAATAGAAATTAAAATGACTGGAGATTCGCAGCTTGGCTGGTTTCTTGACTGTTTCTTGCCATGCCTGTAATCCCTGTACATAACTGACGTCCTGAATATCAAAATCAGACATCAGGTCGTTGCTATCTTAGATCTTGCATAATGTCAATTCAAGTATCATCATTTTACCAATTGTAATGAAGCCATTTCTGCATTAATATAGCACTTTCGCATACTGGTATATAAGTAGCGTTTCTAAATGTGACAAACACGACATGTGGTTGAAACAACATCTCTGATGCTGCCCATGTGCCGGCTTCGGGATCTAGACCGCCTATTAATCAAGGAATGGTAGGAATAATGATTCATTGTAAAACGCTTGAAACAAGTGTCCGGTCAGGTATATGAGTTGAGTAATTATAATAAGCTGCTATATCATTTCTTACGATCCGTGGGGAATTGAGAATAATTCACTGCCGAGGCGACCAAACCAAACCGATGATTTGACTCCGGCCCGCAATGTCGAAGCTTTGAAATCGGCCCTAGGCACGATGTGAGGCGGGATCAAACGGCAAAAAGAGCCTCTCCGCGGTCATGAACCATCTGAAAAGTCGGTCCATTTTTAGAGAATAGTCAGTAAAAGCAAACATATTTCAATCTCCCCGGCGGGGCAGCAGAACGGTGCTGCTAGCACATGCCAAAACCAGTAGACCCGAGGAGTCCAGAGATGATAACACCGACGCGGTTGGTCGAGCTCACGAATATCAGATACAGCGAGAGGAACAATTATTGTAGAAACAGGGGTCTAAAAACAGGGTTTAGGTGGCTGACTGGGCCAATAGGACTCTTCCCATACTTCTACAATAATTTTATCTCACGCTGTAGGATTCTTAACGTCAAGCCAAGCCGGTAGTTGTGCAACTAGACGCTTAGTCACTGTCAATAAGGTTTATTCCTTGGCGCTCGGGATACCTTGCAGATCTGGTCACGCCACTAGCCATGAATAAAACCCTTTTGCCAAGAAGGCATGCACAGTTGAAGAGCCTCTCGTTGGGTGCCCTTTATAAAGGTCAATCGACCAGCGAACTGTGTAAAAAAACCTGTATTTAATAAACCTCTGCGGGCCTCCAGAGACAGGTGGGGTATCTACTGAGTCCCACCAGATGGACATGGGGATGCGCCTACTCACAAACAATCACTCGATCATAAAAGATCACTCTATCGAACACTCCCCACCTGGGCGGTGTGGCGTGGAGGGGGGAGTGATTGTGGCTCATGTATCAAAAGAATCCCCCAGCGATGAGTAAAAGGTTGTCTTCAATTTGCCTGTCGTTAGGATCTCGACAAGGAATTAATGAGTCAACGAAAATTAAAACAACAATCTCACTAAGGAAATATGGTCGCCTGAAATCTCACGTGTAAAACCCGGTACGCCCTCAGCTTACCACTCTCTGGTTGGTGACCGGAACTCTAGGCGACATCGCTAGTATAGAGGCCCGGTTATTCTGTCAATATGGTGGTTTTCCCATGCGTTATATATGTACTCAAGATTGTACTGCCAACCACAGTGTATAGTCTTGACATAGATTTCTAAGGCGGTTTATGTTCCAATGGCTAAAGCGAAGATGAAAGTATTGAATGACAAGAGAGAGAACTGATGCATTGAGAAGACTGAGAAACATTCTTTATACTTACATATCTGTTGCTTAGGGCCAGATCATTACACCACCCAAGCTCCTCCCGCAAGCCCGTGGTTCTAGTATACGTAACGTCCTAGAGACTAGAGTCACGTATCCGCCATTGCATCCTCCCGTCTCCTCCCATCTTCAACCTCCAAAGGACAGGATGCCATTCATAAGAACAGCATCGACGCCCTCATCCTCAAAACTACATATATTCCGGTGGGTTCTAGTCTAGTATGTGGACCAGAAATCGCACGGGAATCACGCTATGTGGGTCTGGTATGTCTGGATGATACATACCTCTGGCCGGTAGTCTTGCAAACCAGCCTCTCTTTTTCTCTCTCCTCTCCTCTCCCGGCCTATTAGCTTGCTGGACCGTGTTGCTATGAATGGTCGTGTTTTTTGTACAGAAGACTCTCATTACAGTGTTTTCTTCGCTATAGGGATGTCACTCTGATCACAAGTAGTCACAGCCTTAGACCCTCGTACGGAAGTCCAGCGGTAACCCGACATAAGGATATTAGCAAAGCCTCGCACAAGCATCGTTGTATCGAGAGAAGTATTTATACCACTAGCTCCCACCTGTTTGTCGCCCCTCCTGCCGGCGCCCTCTAGTTGCCCTGCTTTCCGCTACTTCTCTCTTTCTGACAAGAGCCTAGTACTGCTCATTCTACTAGCAGGACAGTCTGTGCGTTTGTCCTCTTTTGGCAAATACAGGAAACATAGCCCTGGATTGGTTATCGCCTTTTGCGAAAAATCGCAGGTACATTCACTATTAGTGAGTGTCTCTTATGATGAGAACGCAATTCCCGAACCCCGACACTCCTTCAGAACCCTCCGGCTACTAGAATGATGCCGGAGCAAGTCCGGAAACCAGCCGCCGTCAAATCGAAAGATGGACGCATCGGTGGGTGGCTTGTGAGGCATTTGACCGAGTGGCTGGCCACCTAAATAAGACATCAAATGGGTAACTCTTAGACAAATGTGCACGTGATTGATTCATGGCGATGTGCTGTCACCCTGCCGGCGACAGTGCCGGCGCCGTTTGGTCCTTGAGTTATCCCTTAGTCTGCCAGTAAAATGCTGATCCCAAGTCAGTGCCAAGAGTGTGGCTTTGCTAACAGATCTTTCTATCTTTCTTACCAAATAATAGACGTTTAACTCCTCTATTATAAGGGGTTACTATTGATAGACTAAGGGATACTGCGTATCGAGTGATATCTCATGTAAGAGATATGTCGATAGATTTGTGGGGGGGGGGGGGGGGGGGGAGAAGAACATGCTGGTCAACTTTAATATGTTTTCTCAGTGTACTGACTGCTGGAGGTCATAGATGCTCAACTTTATTCGCAAATGCCGACCGCCGCGATCTGGCCCCCACGAATCTGAAATGGTCGGCATTTGAATCGCCGACACACCAAGTACTGGATACAGACAGTCACTGCCAATGCCCGGGGAGAAGCCCGGAGAGGCATTCTAAATCTTATCTTATTGGGTGTGTCGTAAGATTTCGATCCAGGATATATGGTATACAGCTTGTGGCTTAACCAGCCATACAAACGCTGTTTTTAGGCCCCTGTTTCTACAATAATTCTACCTCTTGCTGTACGTATGCATATGATAGGTCTTTTTTTGAGGTTCTGCAAGTCAAGCTTTTCAGGGATGTAGGCAGGTAAGATATTTTTTCTATGCAGGGGTAATAATACCATATGTGCCCTGACCCTTACACAGAAAGTCTGTGTGGTTCTTTTGTCATATTGCTCGACCTTCTCAATATATTCAGCTCAACACCGGGAAGAGACCAAGATATGTCGTTCTGCAGTACATATCAGCACACGTTCTCACAACCTCTCTCTCTGTGCGACTCTGCGACGGTTATGGCGTATTGATGCCTGTCGATCATGTCGTGCAACGTCCGGGATCGCCTCACACCTCGCGCCGCGTTATTAAACTCGGGCTCTGGATACGTACTGCCAATTGCAACCCCACCTACCTAATTGCTATGATGTATTGGTTCATGTTACTACAGGCAGGTATCTACAATATGATCTCCCCAGGTACACACTATGTACTTCTTCTTGGCTCCCGTATTTGCTAACAGTACTAGCTGACTGAGCTTGTAGCAATGTAGTGTTCGCTCTAATTAAAACCGAGAGCATCAAGGGCACCCCATCAGCACCGAGAATCCTCTGAGCTTTCTGTGATTCTCATACACTATATATCTATTCCTACCCGGCCGCCAAATCCCACCACACGGGCAAGGCAGTCTCCCTCCCGGGTTGCGCGCGGGCAAAAGGATCCATCCGGCGAGTCACCCTGAATAGAGACTTTTACTTTGTCTTTGTACGAGCGCCAATCATCTTCTCGCCCACAGTGAGATATTGCTCCGGTGTCAGTCGCTTAAAGCTTATGCATGTCACAACGGTGCCCGGTCCGCCGCTTGTCCACCCCGCAATATCCAACCCTGGACGGCCCACAAATTAAAGCCAATCGACAGGCACTAACCCGCATTGGTATTCTTATTAAGAAAACACCAAATTGGGAGCCTTTGTAGAGCAGACATTCCACGGCTGGTGCAACTATGGGCGATCATATAATTCAGCCGCGAGAGCTTCAACGGGATGGAACTTCTCCGAGCGTCACAGTGACTCGGGACGCATCCGATCAAAGGTCCGAAGCCGCCCAGAATACGTTCGTGCGAGATGTTTAGCACTGGCAGGCAAACCGTCGGATAGATGGATCATTTCTTGTTTTCCTAGAGCTGGATGAGGGGGAGGAGGAGAGCCAAAAAGTCTATATTAAATGTCGAACCCGGCCGGATTTCTACTTCGATCCCCCACTGGTAGATGCAACTCAAGATCCACCTTCTGAGATCACCCTGTAGTTTCAAAGATGCTTTGGAAACTCACGTTAGTGACTCTTGCCTTGACAGAGTCCGCGCTCTGTAAGGACTCCTACAAGATCCCGAGTCGTCTCTGGTATAATGGCTCCACCACCGACGTAAGCTCTCCCCTTACTACCATGACCGTGAATAAAACTAAGCCATAATACCAATCCAGTGGAACAATGCCATCCCCTTTGGAAATGGCCGTCTCGGTGGCATGGTTTTCGCCATTGCCTCCAAAGAACTCATTAGTCTTAACGAAGACTCCATCTGGAGCGGCGGCCCCCTCGAGCGCATGAACCCCGCCTCCCTCGAGACCCTCCCGAAGGTGCGCGCCCTCCTTGATGCCGGAAACATCACCACGGCCGGATCAACGATGCTCAATGGGATGGCCGGCATCCCGACAGCGCCGAGGATGTATCAGCCGCTCGGCGACATCACGTTTGACTTTGGCCACTCGACGAATGTGACGGGGTATGAGCGCTGGTTGGACACGGATACGGGCACCATCGGCGTGGATTATACGTATGGCGGTGTGGTGTATACGAGGGAGTATGTAGCGAGTCATCCGGCGGGTGTGCTGGGTTTCCGGTTTTCGGCGTCGAGGCCGGAGGCGATCTCGTTTTCGGCAGAGCTGTTTAGGGATGAGGCGCAGGGTGAGATGACGAGATTGGTGGGCGAGGACTCGTTGAATATGGGGGCGTTGATTGGTGGTGCGGATGGGATCCTGTTTAACTCCACTGCGAAGTTCGAGATCAAGGGAGGTTGGTTATGCCCTAAACTCCTTCCCTCCCCAACTCCGAGATTTATATATTCATGATTATATATGTAGGAACCATCGCGGCCGGAAACAACACAAATATTGTAGTCACCAAAGCCGACGAAGTAATCGTCTGGTTCGCCTCCGAATCCTCGTACCGCTACACCACCCCCGCCACAAAGGTCGCCGAACGTCTTTCCGCCGTCGCAAGCAAATACGACTCCGTCAAGCAGGAGGCCATTGCTGATTACCAAAAGCTTCACCGCAGAGTGAGTCTTAACCTCGGTACCACTCCTGACTCTATCAAAAGGTTACCTACAGATGTCCGCCTCACTACCTTCAAAGCCGGCACGGCCGATCCTGAGCTTATAGCCCTTTACTTCCAATTCGGACGATTCATGCTCATTGCCTCCTCCCGTGAGGGCTCTCTCCCGGCAAATCTGCAAGGCATCTGGAACAAGCTGTATGTCCCTCCATGGGGCAGTAAGTTCACTGTCAATATCAACACAGAGATGAATTACTGGCCGGCCGAAGTCACGAACCTTGCGGAAACCCATAGCCCGCTCTTTTACCTGATGGAGGTGATGCGTCCCCGGGGCGAAAAGATTGCCAAAGAAATGTACAACTGCAGCGGATGGACTGCGCATCATAATACCGATCTCTGGGGCGATGCAGCACCGGTCGATCGCGGGACTGGATACACCATATGGCCCATGAGCGCCGCCTGGCTCTCCTCGCACATCTTCGAGCACTACCGATTCAACGAAGACAAAGAGTTCCTGCGGGAAAAGCTACCAACCATTCACGGCGCCGTCAAGTTCTTCTTCGACTACCTGATTGAGCGCAATGGCAGCTACGTTACCAGTCCCTCCACCTCCCCGGAAAACGTCTACATCCTTCCCAACGGGCAAAAGGAATCCGTCACCATCGGCGCAACAATGGACATGGAGATCCTGCGCGGACTCTTCTCGGACTTCATCGCCGCCAGCGAGATCCTCGGTGAGACCACCGATGTCGAGCGCGCAAGAACGTACCACGACAAGCTCCTCCCCCTCAGGATCGGACAGTACGGCCAGATCCAGGAATGGATGGAGGACTACCAGGAGAACGAGCCCGGGCACCGCCACGTCTCTCACCTGTGGGCCCTTTTCCCCGGAAACCAGATCACGCCGCTGACGACACCCGTGTGGGCGACGGCCGCAAATGCGACTTTGCAGCGCAGGCTGGCGAATGGCGGCGCGGGGACGGGGTGGTCGCGGGCGTGGACTATCAATTTCTTTGCAAGGCTGCACATGGGCGACACGGCATGGTTCCACATTGAGCAGATCATCAGAGGCTCCACCCTCCCAAACATGTTTGACCTGCACCCGCCTTTCCAGGCCGACGGTAATTAACAAACTCCCTACCCCCAACATCTCACTCAAGGAAAAAACTAACATTCCACAGGAAACTACGGCAGCAGCGCCGGTATCGCCGAAACACTCCTCCAGAGCCACGCAGGGACGGTGCACCTCCTCCCCGCCATGTCGTCAAATTACTCCACGGGCGCCGTGACCGGGCTTGTGGCGCGCGGAGGCTTCGTGGTCGATATCGAGTGGAAGGACCTGAAGCTGGTCAAGGCCAAGATCTTTTCCAGACTGGGGAACCCGCTGAATGTCACTGTTGCGGACAGCGTGCCGTTTACCCTACAGTCTGAGGGGGGCACTGGGAAGGGCGCTGTTTATACGGTGCTGCCCGCGGCGTGAGTGGGGGATGTGGTTGTAGTAAGTAGGGTTTGGGATATGGTGGCGGGATTTTCCGTGGGTGTGGTTATCTCTTATCAATTGGGATCAATTGTCCATAGAGTACTAGTATTGTAGCTAGCTCATAGATAAGATTAAAGTTGAAACCACGATCATTGCCAGTGCACTGCCACTGATATGCAGCTATCCATCCCTATTTTAGCAGCTATCAGTAATATAGTAAGGTAGACGAATTGGTAGGTGCAGTTTTCTTTCTAGGGTATGTACAAGTACCTACTTGCAGCACCGGTCAATTGTAGCAGATTAGTAGTATATTAGTAGTGCTGGTACTAATATCGTGTTACTCTAACGCATATCGCGCTAAGTAACATATTTTCATCAACGCCGATTGGCCAATCCACTCTTGACCTGCTAGTGGCCGGTCAATATTGTGATACTAGCGGTAGTAGTGCTGGTGGTGGATAGCAAATAGGCATCGATTTAGTAAAGCCGTCCCCATAGGCAGATCCATATTCCACCAACCCCCCCCCAAAATAACTGATCAACCCGAGCTCGAAGGAGGAGCCCAGAACCATCTTTTTGGCCCTTTACTACATCAATTGGAGGCTACAAGTAGAATTATTTACCAGATGAACATCGTAAATGGTAGTAAAGCCCAACTTTTATTTTTCATCCATACGTACTCATACTCAACACACACACAAAAAAAAAGCGGGGGCCCGGATGCTAAGGTGCTAAGGTGCAAGAAGAAAAAAAAGAAAGGAAAAAAAAGGAATTTTTAAATCACCCCCTTATCCTCTTCCCCACCCCCTCCCTCGATCTTACCCTAAGAAGAGACGAAACACAAAAAATTTAACCTGATCAATACGTACGTACGGCAAAAAAGGGAAAAAAATCAACAAGGTTCAATATAGAACGGCAAGAAACGAATAAAAGGGAAAAGAAAAGAAAAGATGAAGCGCAAAGAGAAAAATAAATAAAAAGAAGAAAAAGATCCATAATAGTCCCGCCCTTCCCTTCCCGCCCCTGCCCGCCCCTGCCCAGCGGCCACCTGGGATGCCATGCCGACCCGGCCTCCAGCACTTGAAAAACTTAGAACCAGAAGATTTCCTCCCAAAGATTGATCCCGACTCCGGAGAAGAGGGCATTATAAATATCAATACCCTCTCCGAACCCCCAAAAATCCAAACCGTAAAAAGATCCTAGTTTGACCCCTGGCCTGTTGCCCCCGCCAGTGGGTTTGATGAAAGAAAGGAAAAGGAAATAAAAATAAAAAAAAGGTAAAGGAATACATAGTACTTTGTAGACAAAAAAAAGGAAGATCTGGGAGAGAGAGAAAAAAGAAAATATAAACTAATAGGAAAGAGCTTCAAAAAATACACACACTATTTCCTTCCTCAAGTCCCTTTTACCGGTTTTTCCCATTTCCCTTTTACCTTTTCCCCCGTCTTTCTTTTTCGTTTTTTTCTGTCGTTCACTCCGCCAGGCCGTCTTAGGTATAAAAAAAAGAATACGATAAAAAGAAAAATCGTTTTTTGTTGTCGTTACCAGCTGCTGTCGTTAGAACAAGAGTGGATAGCTAAAAACAAAGCGCCATGGAAGGATGAATGAAAGAAAAAAAGCCGACTGTTTTTCCCTGCGCCCGAAAAGGGAGGCAAAGATTACTTCCCAAAAGTACAAAATCAAGCGAATAGTATAGAAGCTGAAATAAGATACCAATGACAACACGAACGCCCTCTTCATTACCACATCTCTCCCCCTCCCCCTCTTTATGAGGACTTCTACTCCATTATCATGAGCTTGGTGCCGCTGGTTGCTGCTGTTGTCGTTGAGCTTGAGGCTGTTGGGGTGTTTGCTGATCCAATCTTTCCTCAAGCTGTTTTATCCTGTCCTCAAGGGTCTTGATGTATGTCCATAACCCACCGTCCTGGCCAGCAAACATATTAGGATTGCTTTGCGGGCCGTTACCACCCATATTGGCCTGAGGAGCAGGTCCGCTTCCCCCTGCGGCACCTTGTTGTTGGTGGGCGTTTTGCTGCTGCCCAGACGCAGGCGGGTGCGCCATGTGGTTGACGAACATACCATCACGTTCACGCTGAGGTGCTGGCAGAGGGTTCGTATAGGTGAAACTCGGTGTTCTGTCCCTGGGCATCCCTTCGGGCTGACTTGGCAGCATCCCTGGACTGACCGCTCGGGGGCTGTCCGTCAAGACATTCTGAGGACTAAGAATACTTGTGTTTGCAGAATTCGTGGCAGCAGGGCTTGTAGCTGAGGTAGAGTTCATATTGGTGGTTTGCATGCTAGGAGTTGCACTTGTTGGCGTCGCCGACTTGAATCCATGTGCAGCATAGCCAGGTGGAAAGAGTCCTGGACTTGGCCCACTGGCCGACGCTGTTCGAGCTCCAGATGAGAGTTGTGGATAGGTGTTATTGTGACTTCGGTACCCAGAAGCTGGCGTCATTGGAGTATGCTGCCCCATCTGGTGGCCCACTTGTTGATGGCCAGGGTGGAAATCAGTCTTGATGCTTGGAAGACTCGCCCGCCTTCGAGGGCCCCCATCAGAACCTTCTCCGCCATTTTCATCCATCATGGATACATCGCCATCACCATCATCAATAAGTCCTTCAAGACCCTCCATTCCATCATCGCCGTCTTGTCCTAGCCCGGTAACCATTGTTCCGTCTTCATTCATCATGCCACCCATGCTACCCCTTCTCCCAGCACAACCCCCTTCGCCGCGGGCATGTCGAGCTAAGGCGTCTCCTCGAGCGAATCGCCTTCCACACTTTCCGCAAACATGTGGCCTCTCTCCCGTGTGCAACTTCGTGTGTCGTTTAAGATCGTGAAGTCTTCGGAAGCGTGAATTACATGTCGTGCAAAGGAAGGGCTTTTCGTGTGCATGCGTCAGAAGATGGCTCTTGAGGTTATGGTGTCTAGTGAAGGTTTTATGGCAATGAGGACATGTGTGTTTCCCTCGTGTGCCGCCTGGATGATTAGGGCTAAATGGCGTAGTAGGCGTTGTTGCGCTACCAAACCCAGGAGTGGTTGGGGTAGTCGCTGTAAGGGGCTCTGTGAGTTTGGGCGGTTGTGGCTGCAGAGTGTGATATTGACTCATATCTGAGGGAAGTAGGGCAGGATCAGTGGTATTCGGGCCTGCAGTAACAGTCCCGGCACTTCCGTCAATAGTCGTACCATTAGACACCAAGCCACTTGACGTTGCAGGCGAACTACCAGACGTATCCATAGCAGCAGCAGCTGCCGCAACACTTGGCAAGCCACCTAACCCGGAAGGAACTGGAGAAGGTTCTTTCGGAGGTGCATCGGCAGGCGTACTCATTCCGAGATTTGTTGTAAAGATTGAAGCCGGGTTTGGCGACTGCTTAACTGCCTGCGACCCATCGGTCTTTTTGTCATCGAGAGGCATAGTTCGAGGACTTCGGCTCTGCTGTTTACCCGCTAATGCCGCCGCTGCTCCGGTAAGTGGGGTGTGTGGGGTAAGACTCGGGAGTTTCGAGGCTAGTAATGGAGGTAGGTTTGCAGGAGCTTTGGGTGATACCGGAGTGGTGGCAAGAGCAGCAGCGGCTGTAGATGCTGCTGTGGAGGTTGGGTTGGTTTTACGAGAAGCTTCAAGGGTCGTTCCGTTAGTTGCTGCTGGTACTGAAGCGTATTGTGACGATGCCATCACAAGTAATAAGCCCTTGAAGACGTAAATGATCTATAGATGATCAGCGTCTAGCTCCACAATCTCGGTTTGTAAATAAACACAGAAGAAAGGCATCAATGAAAGATATCTGAAACGACAAGAGAGGATAAACGCGCTGGTGCCTGAGTAGGAACGCTTGGCTAACTAAGAAATGGTGATCAAACAAGATCTGCGCCACACAAACTGCAGAGACACCGCGCAAGGAGTAATGAATAAAAAGAGGCGTATCCCCTACCTATTAAGTATTTTTTTCGTCAACGCCAGTTGATCCTTCTCAGCCCTAAACAAATGTGTAACACACAATATCGTGTAGGTGACACAGGGTGACAATTGCGTAACTTAAGCAAATTGGGGAGCCCTTTTCTGTTCCTGGGGCGCGAATTAATAATTCACAAGGAAATATCGAGCCTCGTCTGATTTTCCCTTTCCTTCCTTCTTGGCTATATCAAAGGCACAAGAATGTGTTCGTCTATCGTTGGAGCGAGTTAATTTTAGCCTGTCTTGAGGTATTTCAGGCTTCTCGGAAACTAACCAATCAATGCTTTTTTTCTAGGGGCCAGAAATCGACGTCAAGTGAAAACAAAGAAAAAAGTATTTGACCAAGAAAATAGTTCCCCGTTCCCTGTGTTGTTCCACCTGCTTGCTGGGAAGAATTGAAGGGATAACCTTTCTCTTCGTTTCTTTTTTTCGAAAGATAAAAAGACCGATGCGAGTTGCTATCCAGAGATCTCAAGGATATCTAAGCTTAGAATTTGTCTCGGGGGAGGGTAAAGAGTGATCCTCTCCTCAGCCTTTCCTAAATTCCGTGGCGCGTTGTTGTTGATAAAAGAATGCAATTGGTCGGTATAGAGTGGATAGTTAAATATAACCGCAACCTAGCCCCAAAGGCTCCAAGTAATCAATAGCCACCGTAAACAGGGATCAAGGCAGCAGAGCAGAGAGACGCTGAGCCAAGCTCCGTTTCCCCTTCAACAAAATTATAAAGGGAAAATAAGAATGAACTGCCGTGTAATTTCGTCGTAACGTTCTAGAATCAACTTTAAATCTTTCATCTGTCAGCTTGATGTCTCTCCCGTCTAATGTTGTTTTCGAAAGCAGCGTATTAGATAAACGTCCCCCCTCCCCTCGTGACATGATAAATCGGCAAAGCCTAATAAAGCAAAAGAGAAAGATGGGTGCATAGTAGAACAACTTTATGAGCAACGGATGCACATGGCCGAGATAGGGTCAACAAGTGTAATGGAATGCAAAATGACTCCGTTCATGACCCCCGGAAGCATATAAGGCAGAATAAGAAAGTAAAAATTAAAGCACAAAAATAAGCACTAATGGGGATGGTACGAAAAACGATAATCTGGAAAAGCTGGGGTAGGAGGAGACATGAGATTCGCAACGATAAGAAATTGATGCAATCCTGAGACGCGAAAATCACAGGAGTATGCAAGAGTGGTAGGGTGAGGCGCATTCGTCTGCATGTGGATGGACCGTTTCCCACAACCCACCTCTTCTCTCGTCGGGGAGGGGGCTGAAAGCTGAATAAACACACGGAGGAACGAACCCACCTTTACTGACGTAGGAAGCTTTATTTGAGAAAGAAAAAAAAAGCAATACCGTTTGTATTGCGCGTAACAATTCGTCCGTTTATTTCAATTATGTAAATTCAAATATGCTGTCGTTTGAGGGAGGTAGGAGACCTCGGTTTCCTTCTTTTGGAATGATGCTATCGTGAGAGGTAGAGGAGCGGGAAGTGGTGCATCCTCTGGGTAGAACTCGAGATACAACGAGAACGGGTAACTGTTGCGACAACAGTGGAAGCAAGAGGCAGACAAGGCGACAAGCGTCTACAGATCGGGATACGCGTATAGCCTCCCGATAAAAAGCTTGATCGCTGAACCAGAACCCGTTAGCAATGGAAGAACCACAGATTTTGAGACGGACCGATAACTTTGAAACTCGGTGGAGGGGTGTTCAAAGGCAGTTCAATCGGTACGTGCAGAGGGGGGTGGGTTAAGTTGAGGCGACTAATTGTGGAAAAACTGCGCGCAGAAGGGAATAATACCTGAGTAGACTGTATACGGGAAGCGTGAAGATTCGCGTTCAATTCAGTTCTTGACAATAGAGTTTGTTCGAGCGTTGGGTTCGTGAGTGTGGCTTCTCCGTTCTGCTTCGCAACAATCATCAGCCTTCCTCAGCCTTGCTTTGGGAGTTTGGGGTCATCCAGCCAGCCACCGCCATGTAGCCCTGGCACGCTCGCTGCTTGGTCCTATTTCCGACAAGTGGATGGGGCAGATCGATGGCTGTGCCTGCCTCATTCTGTGGTGGGGCTGACCTGGCCGCCCGTCCGCCGGCCAACGACAAAAGATTTTTTTTTCATTGGGGGGGTAGCACCAACCTTTTTTTTTTTCTTTCCCTTCTCTGTAATTCTTTTTTATGTTTATGCCACTGTAGCCACCAAGCAAGGAGTTTCGAAGTGGATGGGAGAATAAAATAGTAGTGAGGCTAAAATTTAATCGAGACGAGTAAGTAAGTGTGCTATTATTTTATGCTTCTGACTGATGGGTAAAATAGAGTCGATGAGATGGCAATTGTGTATAGACGAATTCAGAAGGGCGGGGGGGAGGGATAAATGTTGGAGAATCTTTGTGCTTGTGCTGCTGCTGCCGCTGTTGCGTCTGTCTTGCTTTGCTTGCTTCCTGCCTCCTGCTTGGATGATTTCTCTCTCCCCTCTTGAACGGATTGGATGGGAGGATTGTATGAATGGGTGATGCCGCTGCTCTGCTGCTTCCTGCCTTTTGCTTTCCTGACTTGCTTGCAGTTCTCGCTGCTGCTGGCTGTTCCTTTCGATGAAAATGATGGACACTTAATTCTCCCTCCCGGTCACGGTATTTGTCTCACTCGCACACGCACCAGTTTTCGCTAACTCACTCTTGTCTTTTTGGCTCAATGGCGTTCCCTCCTCTGATCTGATTCTTGTTCGCGAAACGCACACTCTCTAGTGTCGAATCCCAGTGTTTTCATTCAAACGTGATCGTGCAGATCTTGACAACTTTCTCACGAAACACTAGCAACCGTGGTAGGGTTCCGAGGTTGGGTTGATGACGATTGCCGGCGGGTGGTCGCAACAACGAAATTCAGGGTGAGCCTGAAGTAGAAGAAAGAGGCGGTGGTGGTTGAGCTGATGAGGCGATGGAGGCTGCTGTGCTGCTCGAGGGAAGGAGGGAAATGGAGCAGGGTGGTCGGGTGGCGAAGTCACTTGAGAGTGAAAAAAAGCAATGAAGCCAGCGTGCGCATTACCTCAGCACATGTATAGGCGTACAATCCAGTACGACACCGTACAACAGAGCTCAACCCAATTGAGCAGCCTCGTCGCCCAATCCGGTTAATTAAAGAGCCCAATCGTCAGGGCACCTTGCGGGATAAGGTCAAGTCTGCTGCCGGCGTCCGTTCCGATGACGGTACTGGGCCTGAAAAGGTAATCTGCGTCATGGGCCATTCGGGTGAATTGTCCCTCTCCGGATGACTGATTCCTAATCCGTGGAACACAACTATTTACGCACCAATCCGTTTCTGTCAAGTTTAGTTAGGACCTTTCTCACCAGCCCCCTGTTGTGCCTTTACTCCTCTTCTTTCTTACTTTACGCCTGGCGCCTCAGAAACCCAACATTTTGCAGTGGCTTTGGTGGCTGCCACACCACCCAGTACGCACACCAGCCGCCTGGGGTGGGTGAGCTGTTGGTCTGACGTCGAATCTTTTTAGTTCGGTGTCAACACAGCCTCTACTCCCTCGTGACACCAACAACTGAGTTCTCATGCCTTCCGAAAGACAGAACTTCAGAAAATCTCACTGCATATGTAGGCAAAGTAGGAAAGAAGAAGCGACAGTGAGAGATACAGCAGAAATGCCTTATGTAAGATATCTCTCTACCGCCGACGTCAAGCTTAAAGCTCCTATGTAGTTGGCTAGAGCAATACTCTACATAGCCAACACCTACACGCTGTAAATCATTCACACCTCCTCCAATACCGAGATGCCTCGCTTAAATCTTAAAGCAATAGATCCCTTACCCGTGATTTTAACACCATGGGTCGAGACTTTCGACTTGCAGATACGCTGCCTGACATACCCACGTAATGGATGCATACACCCCCCCAGTACCCACTACCAACCTACCACTGTAGAATAGATACCGTGAAGATAAACACCCACACCCACTCTCTCCCCCTTCCTGGTTCGGTAGTAGCTGTCTACCTACATACTCTACACACACACATGTAAGATAAACAGGTACCGTGCGGTCCGTACCGGTTGAGGTTGAATTGCTGTCCACGGATAATTATCCTACATGATACCTACTTACATGAAGGCTCGGCGAATTGATCCGAGACGTATTCACATCACACTCCCTTCTCCACCCCCCTGCCTTCTTCAGTCCCTCCTCAACCCCCCTGAGTCGATGCCCCAAGCGTTTGGAAACGATGGATCGTTCTCATGGAGAAGACATATCCAGCTCCCTCCAGATATGAAATTCCGACAGTAGCACTACAATTAAACCACTATCGTGATTGAACCCCTCCACTCCACATTCCCTATCAGTCGCTAACTTTATTTCAACGTCCGAGTCCATCCTCCACCCTAGCCGACCCTAACCCTGCACAGCTAGCATATCGCGAAATTTGAAATTACGAGAGTCCCCGTGTCACCAATCCAGCCCAGCACGCGAGGGTTCCAAGATACACGATCGTGTATGACAAATTTAGAACCGACTGGTCTATCTCTGGAACAAGTTTTTTCCGGGGGTCGGGGGTTGTGGGGGACGTGCGCCTCCATTATTACATGTATGGTGGGCGAATCATGGGAAAGAGGATTCAACATGACAGAATATTCTTGCCCAGGTGAGAGGAAAAACGATAAGGGGAAAAGCCACATATGTGGTGGTCAGCGGTTGTGAGGTGGCGATAGATGCACGGTTGGGTTGTTGGTTCGGTTTAGGAGAGGCGGCGGAAACGAGTGATATCTGGTGATTCGTGGCTTGTGTTCGTGGTCGGGGCGTATTTGGAATTGGATAAATGGGTTGGTGTCGAGTTGTAGTAACTTCATAACTATACTTAAGCACGGTGCGGCAATCGCCGGCGCAGAATCTTCTCACCCCACACGATCTATCGCTCTGGAGCTCCCGCATCACGAACCAAAACTCGAGCTCTAGACCACGATCGTACCCCGCACTTTGAAAGCCGCGATTCACGATAGACGAGTCAGCACCTGCATACGGACATACGGAGAAGTATAATTCCATTTTTAAACGCCAAATGAAGTTAAAATATCCCCAGGGAGATGAAAAGGATCGATTGTAATTAAGCGTACGAGCATGAATTTCATCGTATCGCATTGTGTTTGACTAAGTTAAACTTAAAAGGTTCCGATATCTAAGAGTGGCGATTCAATGGTTGGAAGGATGGTAAGTCTTATCCAACCAGGTAACCCTAGGCAACAACATGATGACTTTGAAGGATTCCTAGTTGTTGGTGATATGAAAGTGACAATTAGAGCTTGTAAGAATATCAGGAGGTGAATTGGAATCGCCACCCAGATCAATCTCAGCGTATCATCACCTCTGATCGCACTCATTTCTGCACTTCTGAGTAATATTTGAGCTCAGGTTCAACTACTAATCTACCTATCCCCGCGCGAGCTCCATTGTGCCTTGCAAATAGCTGGATTTTATATAATCTCATCAACGTTTATTTCATGAACCGGAGCAGTCAGCGCCTAGTCTGGTAAGTAACCTGAGTGAATGAATATAAATGTGCACTTTGGCCAAACTCACATTCCTGTTGTTATTTTGTTATTCGGGGCCTGGTAAGGCTGAGATTTGGCAGTTCCGATTTTTTAAAATGTTTAGAATACTTGGATCAGTATAAAGCCCGAATACGCACACGGCGTCTCCGATAGGCAGCAGTTCCAGAGGTCTGTGTAAGAGTGAACGGCAATGACTCTGATACGTCAGTGAATGCATCATGATGTCTATCGGGAGGAAGACACAAAGTGATGCCTTTCCTTTTCTGATGAATTTTCTCCGAGATGCACATTACTGACATCTTTTCAACACTTTTCGACAACTATAGACGACTTCCCATATCAGGATTCGATAAGTGACTTGATGATGGGTACTTAGTAAACACTTTACCTCAGATGCAGATCTCACATGGGCCAGGAAACAATACAAGGCGTAATTCCAGAGTCCGGACTGGATACATCAAAAAGCACATGCTCCACATCCACACACCTATTTAGCGCCTTAGTGGATAAAGAGTAGGGATAGGCATAGGAAAGGTCTGTATGCTTATCTAGTTACTGTGAAGCTGTTATAGTAACCCTGTTACTAGTTCCATGAGGTTCGAATGGCCGCGAAGTGTTTCGGCAGGTGCGAGACATTGGTATGCATTGCATGTAGATCAATCAAGTTTCACATCCTGGTACGTTCTGCATGTTCCGGCACCGAAGTGGAGACTATCTGGCCTGAATCTTCCACTTTTGCGATGTCATTGGCTCTACATATCTCATTTGTTTCTCTATTTACCTGTTGTGATGATAGAATGTCAGATTTCAGTTTATGAAGGCTATAAGAAAGTGTATTTAAGGAGGGGTCGAACTAACCTGGCATTTTAAAGCCACCCCCAATCATTCGCCATAGCTATTCCAGCGGTAAAGGGTCTTCGGGAGGCTTGCGGAGAATGAATCTCAGCGATAATTAGAAGGACGGGGAGCTGGAAGCTGGGAGGAGGAGAATTGACGAGGGATGGGGGATGGGCAGGTTAGAGTGCTGCACACTGAAGGGTTTATGAGGGGGAATTGTGTAGAGGAAGGTGCCGTGTGGTGCCAGGTATGTATTGCTTTGGAAAGCCTATTCTTATTTTTGCCTAGCCGTTACGGATTACATGTATCTTGCGCATAGCGGCATAGGTGCACTACATGTACTTGGCGCAGCTTTGGTGGGTGGTATGTACCGTTGGTGTTGAATCGAAATTTTGTCTTTTTTGCTTAGATCCATATATCTACAGTACCGGAAAGGGGTAGAAATTCACTACCGTATTCCAGTCAATATGCTAGTGATGCTGTAAGAATACGGTATTGATACGGTATCGATATGGTATTCTACTTACGATGCTGGTTTAAACCAGTATTCTTGACTCAATACCGCAGCCCCACGGTAGCAATTTTACCCTCATTTCCGAGACTGTAGTTATAGATTCAATCCAGTATCACGATTCTGGCTGTAGCTACAAATATACTATATGTACATATGCAGGGACCCATCGTTTGTTAGGTACCGCTCGATTAAGTACAGACTCTACAAGAGATACATTGCCGAGAACTGGCCTGCAATTAATGAGAGCGCCAGAAACACTCATGATTTACCTCCTCAATGAGAAACCTCCTGAGCTGCATGAGCACGAGTTTATCTTAATTATAATTTATCAGGCCCAAAAGCTCTTCAACGCGAAAGCAGAGGTGGTCAAAAATTGAAGATACAAATGAAAATGTTTTTCACGAATTAATTTTAGACTATTTAGACCTCACTGCCCGAGCTCCATTAGACGCTGAGGGCTCCAGTGTAGATCTATAGAGTTGGATTTAGAATTTTAGGTCAGTGAGCATCTTTACAAAACAACTTCCCGCGTTATCGTTTTATATTGTAGTAATATCAATATAGTTCGAATTTATACAATATACATCGCATTTGTCAATAGACCTAACCCTGGAAGCATACGTGTTGAGCTCCCTGTACGTTTGTCACACACACGCCCCAAGCTTTTGACCCTTCCTCCGCGATCACAAACTGCAAACCACACTCAGGACATATCGCTCCGTCTGTGATTAAGTCACTAATCTAATTTTAACATCTACAAAGCACGCACCTCTCAACATCGTTTCCTGTAGTAGTAAGCTAGCTATAGCTCACGGCAAGGAAAGCTCACGACGTCAAGGCGAGTAGTTCAGCTAGCAGAGGGGTAAAAGCCGAGAAGAAAGCTCGACCGCGGGGAGCAATTGAACAAACGAGAGAGAAAGGGAAATATAGAAATCAATAAATCTTCTATCCAGAAACAGTCACCAAGTCAGATCTACGTTCAGACCAGAAGCTTTTGACAAGCAAGACAAAGATTCCTAAGAGTACCCCACATAGCTTGGCTGTCTGCCACACTACCCCTCATCAGCCTCTACACACCAATGGCTCATACCGGACCTGGAGTAATGGACAACAGCCCTAAGCATCATGGTCTCGAGATCCTCCCCAACGAGATCCTCCTCAAGATTTCTCAGCACCTCATAGCAGGTGACATCAACTCCCTCCTCCAAACCAATCATTTCTTCCAATCCTTGCTATCCCCAGTCCTCGAGCTCCTCCTCGCCAACATGAACATCGGGAGTCTAACACAGCTCTCCTGGGCCACAGCAAACGGCTACTATCGGCTAGTCCTCCGTCTACTCAAGGCCGGCGCAAAACCTAACGAGAGAGGGGAGAAAGACCCCCATTGGACGGCCCTCCACCATTCAGCCTTGCGTGGGGATCTAGAGATTGTGAACCTCCTGTTGAAGTCTGGTGCAGATCCTAATATCCCCAGAGAGGGCACGTCCAGCTCATCTAACCTCGAGACCGGGACCGTGACAGCGCTGCATCTCGCAGCGCATTGCGGACATATATCTATTGTCAGAGCTCTCATTAAACACGGGGCTGATGTTAATGCGTATGGCACATGGTGGAACACACCACTACATGCTGCAATAACCACCATCCATGACGATAAAAGGAAATTCTATTCGTACATCGATGACAATGTGCGCTCTTGGGACAAAAGGGCGCGGAAAGCGTCAGAACAGGAGCTTTACGACATAGTCAGCATCCTTCTGGAGAACGGAGCACAAGTCAACCGCTACCTCTTCAACAAAACACCGCTGTTATGCGCGATAGAGAGGGACACAGATTTATCACTCATAAGGCTACTTCTGGGCGCAGGCGCCGATATCTGTGCTCCGCCCTGTGATTGGAATAACACCACCCCCCTGCACTCCGCCGTGGTCTGGAAGCAGCCGGGCGTCGTGGAGCTGCTGCTGCAAGCGGGGGCAGATGTGAATGCCAGGCTTCGAAGTAATGGCGCAACACCACTTTTTCTCTCTACTCACCAGGCAATCACGGAGATTTTGCGGCAATATGGCGCGAAAGATGAAGAGGATGGTGTCTAGAGTGGTCATGATCAAAGGACATAATTCTCAAGAACTTTACGATGTTAGAGGAGATGGGAGTGTCTAGAGTGGTCATGATCTAAGAACAGATAATTCTCAATATCTTTTACAACGGCAGAGAAGACGCCAGATTTGTAACTACGAGTGAAGAGTAGTATTGTGCAGGATTTTCAAATATGACACCTTCTTGAGTCCTATGACCGTGGTCGCATACCACATTACCACTAACTTGGCACTCAGTCAAGTGTATTTCTTGTGACAATAGTCGAGGCGTGAAAGATTGAGTTCTGTCAGTGGCACTCTAGATATGAGTAGAGGGCGACTTTGACAACCCTGCACACACCACTTTAATTCTTACATTGGAGAACCTCACCTTTAACGCGACTCTATGTCTGTCAGGGCCAATGAGACGCAGTGCCTAATTGGCGTGAATAGTGTTGACAGCACCGCCCCCAAGCCCTCTCGCACTATGGAACGGATACCACGCTTTTATATAAAGTTTTTGACGAGAGAGTGACATCTCCATGCATCTGATCTCCTAAAACAGCTATACAAGGTGGTCTTAATAACGGTGCTCACAGTCTGGCCTACAAAACTAGACGTGTCATCTTTATATAAGTACTTAGATAGACTTTCACCCCCCAGCTCCGTAATAGAACATCAATCCCTTTGAATTACCTCTTGAGTCCCCCCTATAAGCTGTGCCTGGAAAAGAGATCCTCCTTGTGTCTCTTAAAAATAAGTGAACACTACAGTTTCCCACCAGGCTATAGTGATTGATTTTGGACATAATAGAGGCTTTACGCAAAGGCTCTATTCCCTATGTAAGAGTTAGTACTGACAGCACATAAATTGTTGTCACTATGCACTAGCTAGCTGTGCGCTAATATAAAGCGAAGTGGAGACTAAAACATGAGGCCATGGCCGGGAGCTTGGCAAAGGTGAGTGATTTCCTGTGACGCAAATAAACATATTGCAACACAACCACAGTGATTTTATAGCTATAGGTCTACCGAATTTGGTGTTATTTCTACATCTATAAATTAAATTTGTCTATGTACATCTTTAATCAGGAGGTGTAGGTTACGAGTACTTTATAGAGATAGGCACATGTGTACTGTAATTTAAGAAAGGTATTCGATATATATGATTCCCTGAGTATTTGATGTGGATATACTGCGAATCCATACTCTCAGACTTCCACAGAGCAGCCCATGATCAAAAAAGCGTAAACAAGCACGCCAAGCGCGGGCGCTATTCAGACAGCCGTCTGATTTCCATCAGGGATCACTTGCATCACTTGCATCCGAGTCCGCAGGGTTAGGGCTGACCATTACGCGTTTCAACCCCTGTTCCAGCCCGACACAGAAGATGCACCATTCACTCACTTACCTCACCGGACCTCTAGGGAGGTGTTAGTTCACTCGTCCACTTTTTTCCACCTAACCGTCCTTTTTCCAAGAATCACAATACTACAATAACCCAGCCGGATCTGGTTCCAACTAACTACATACACAACATGTCCTCCTCGTCCTCCCTCCCACCGGTGCTCACGCCGCGCTTCCGCCCGCACGCCGAAGAAGAGCCGTTCCTGCCGCGCTACACGGAGGACTCGGAGCCTGCGCGGCTGTTCCTGAAGAAGCGCACATGGCTCACGCGCGGGCGGGTTATACTGCTGAGCGCACTCCTGTCGCTGGTAGTATGGGGCTTGATAGTGATCGTGCCGGAGATTTTGGACCCGACGCCGGCGGTGGTTCCGGTGGTTGATTTCGAGAGTGTGAAGGATGTGAATGCGACACTGGTCCCCGGCGGAAAGGGGAAGTGGACAATAAGGATTCCGAAGGGGATTCAGGAGCCGTTGAGACCGAGGGTTTATAGGGATATATGTAGGTCGGTCCATGACGTTGCAGGACATGTCCATCGAGGGTATTACTCGTTCGATGAGAAGTTCGTTGATCCTGCAAAGAGCGGGGAAAAAGTGGCGGTGGAGAAGGGGATGGAGGTCTGTGATGCGAGCTTGACATACATGCTTGAGTCGAAGAATGCAGGATTTGGAGTCGCTCTGATGGGGCTGTGGAGCGCATACGGGCTTGCAAAGAAGGAGGGGAGGAGCTTCTTTGTCAACGACCGTGACTGGTATGTCCTCCCCTCCTCATCTTTTGCCATCTGCTCAGATTCTGACATTGAAGCGTAGGGCATGGGGCGCATATACTTCCTTCTTCCTGCAGATGCCACGGCACAAATGCGCGCCTCCACCGCCGCACTGGATGCTTCCGTGCCCGCATTCAGCAAAGCACCTCGTAGTCGCCGCCTCCACACACACCTACATCTTCGGCCACAGCTTCAACGATGAGTTTGAAGATGCGCGCCAAATGGGAGTGCTGCGCCAGTCCAAGATCTTTGATTTCGTCCGCGAGGGCTATGAGGCGCTGTTCCGACTAGGTCTTCTTCCAGAGGACCAAGATTTCGTGGAGATCCGCAAAAAGAAGCTTATTGGCCCCGTGGTGAGTGTGCACATCAGAAGAGGCGATAAAAAAGCACTAGCGTGGGAGTACGTAAAGACAGATGACGGATTCGTGCCGCCGAAGAAGTATGTGGAAGCCGCATTGGAGATGCGCGGCAAGCGGCATGGCGATATCGTGTATGCGTCTGATGATGTCCACATGTATGAGTCTGCTGAGTTTGTAGATTATAACCCAGCACAAGGAGAGGTAGCGGCAGAGACATGGCTCGGCGAGCTGGAGGTGTCGCAAGATATGAGAGGGTTTGTAGCGGATGATTTCTGGGAGTTGGATCCGGAGCAGAAGATACAGTTGGGGAGGGCTTACCTGAAAGATTTGAAGATCTTGGGGGAGATGGCGGCCAGACCGGAGGCGGCAACGGTGTGTGATGTGGCCAGCACAACTTGTAGGCTGCTAGCGGTGATCATGGGCTGGGAGAGGGCGGTGGTGGAGAAGAGATGGAAAAACGTGGATGGCGAGTTTGACTGGAGTGGAGTTGCGTGGTAGAGTTCCGTTTTGTGGATGGCGTGGCCATCAGTTCTGGTTCGGTATCTGAGTTTCGGGCACGGCGTTGCGAGGGGTTCGGGTAGGATATGAATGTAATACGTAAATCTTAGTAGGTTTCGATAAGAATCATCTGTTTGATGCGAACAGAAGAGAGGATGAAGGGTGGAGAATCGCTGCCCTGGTTTCTAGCAAACATCACAGTCAGCTTTGAAATACATGTATTGATCTGTGTGCGTACTCCCAAGGTTGGTGAATCTGTCCCCGGAAAGCCACTGTAGGGTAGGCTCGGCGGAGTTATGTACGCTTCCTCCCCCTGGGAATTATCACCTATGGATACAATGCCATGTAGATGATGAGTGTTCTGGAGGATACAAGTAGCACAAAATCGGGGGTGGTTCCCCATGATTCGGGAGATACCACCGTGCTGAGATACCTGTATATATCCAGACAGGTGTTGTTACAAGGCAGTACTGTGTGTTTCAGTGGCCGTAACAAGACCAAACTATCGGACGAGAAGAGAGACGATGTTGTATTGACAGGACTGCTAGAGTTTCTAGCTTTATAGGACACAATTGATTGAGGACAGACTACCACGCCACCTACATGTATTCCTCGCCATGAGTCCGCATTTGTAGTATACGTATACGTAGCTGACAGTCACGCATGCCGTATATACGGCAGTGTGTGTGACCAGATCGCCATTACCCGCGGACCTTATCTGGGGAAAGCTACATCAGATTTAAGAATTTAGACGTCCTTCGCGATTTTAATACATGTACCGTATTTACGTCTATCCTGATTTCAACCCCCGGCTTCACGGTGTACTCAACCCCTGGAGGATAATGATTTAATGTCGTCCACGAGGACGAGCGGGCTTATGTCCTTACCGCATGATCGAGGATATGTCTTCGATGACATATATACTAGGACAGTAGTCCAAGAGGGCGGAGGTTCTTGAGAACACTATTTGCCCTTTCCTCGGGGGCTCCCAAGGGCTATAGTTATAGTGCACACTAAACCCTGATATCCGGTCATGGGACATCACTCGGTCAAGGTCATAGTTGATTATTTTCTTTAATCTTTTTCGGAGATTGGTTGATTGATTGATTAATTCATATCTTTTTCGGAGATTTATATGTGGCAAAATGTGCCAATACAGTTTTAGTAGTAGTTAAGGGATGTGAACAATCGTAGAAACTTTACGAGCTCTCCATATGGGCTGGGGAGCGTCCGAGGGTCTTGCTGCAGTGTGGTCAAGTACTGCGAAGGTCTTGACTTTTTCATAGAATGGATTCTCAACGCCTACCTATACCTACCAATAATTTCCCGGCCTTAACATTCATAAAACTTTTTGTTTCCTTACAACGCCACCACAGCCAACACACAGCCCGAAACACCGCATTATATGAGCGATCATAATAACCTTTATCTGATAAACTCAGAAATTATCCCAAAAATTGAAAAGGTTTTGATGCTTCGAAGATCATGAGGTGGCATACTGTGTGTTCATTTGGTACCAGTCTGGGCCCACCAAGTGCACTTCCCATCTGAGGAGCTACCAAAATGGCGCCATAGCTTTGTGCTGCCGCGATCAGATACCACTAGAAGTCTTTTGCTGCGCAGTTTTTCTGGGATTAAATCATGAGTTCTCACTCGAACTGGTTGCCATGTCATTTCGGTGCGCCATACTCAAAACGTGATAGCCTAAAAAACCATAAATTTGTAATCCTCAGGACAAGGATTCTCAACAGCCTTTTTTGAACTCGAAACATAATCCGTTGTGGTGTAATGGTTAGCATCAGTCGCTCTCACCGACTAGATCGGGGTTCAATTCCCCGCAACGGAATTACTTTTGCTGATGGAAAAAAGTTCAATCTGTTTTTTTATATCCCGATATTTTTGAGTTTTACCTATCTGGTTTGTACCTCCGTCTCCGAAAGTAGCTCGGCTATGGGGTAGTAATATACTCTAATTAATTAGTTGGGGTGGTGG